TGGGATGAGCCGGGATTGAACCGGCGACCTCTAGATATATCTGATGACTAAAGTGAACTTCAGTCTAGCGCTCTCCCAACTGAGCTATCACCCCATTATAAAAACTTTATATATAACTCTACATCATCAACCACAGTACTAACAATTGCAGCTAATACCCTTAGACGCCTAGCTTCAATGCCCCTGGCCGCGTTGCACAGAATCGGGTACTGGCCTTAAGGAGATGAGGAGATCACAACGTCAAATTCTTCAGAATACTACTAACTAGAAGAGTGATAAAATGAAGCTGTAGAATGTATCCATGTCTGTGTTATGCTATTTCTAAAGCTCTTGTTGTTGTTTGCTAGGTACAGGCAGGAGCCCGGCTCTCTTGGCAGCTACCTAGGAAGTCGACATTTGCCAGGGCACTGCACTCTGGTGGATATACGGTAAATATCTCCCACTCATGCTTGACTGTAAGTCTCTGTTTAAGGCAACTGCTCCTCGGTAACTACCTAAGGTAGGTTCCAAGCAAAGTCCAAGGTACCAGTGAGACAAGCTGCGCTGTTGTCTCTGCAGGCTTTCATTGTTGTGGAGGAAAGAGGTCACCTGGGCATCTCCTGTCTGCACCTCCAGCTGCCTTGACCTACCTTGGACTGGAGAGCTTAGGTACCTGAGCGGGTAAGGTAGTAGGTAAGGTACCAATTCAGCACGCGAGCCCACCTGCAGTGATTCTACCTTACCTTACTTGCTAAAGGCACGAGCAAATGCTTCAGTCGCCTCAGTTTTACGACCACAATACTGAGAAACAGTGGAAATTCCAGGCTCCCGACAACTGAGGTCCTTTCAGTCCGTATACCGTATTCATCCTATTTTCTTTCTCATTCCTGTCCTCATCTACATTGACAATTTGTTACCGTAACTTGAGCGTCCAGTGTTATCTCATGCAAAGCAAACATTGCTCACTTCCTCTCCATTTCTTTGGAAATGTATGGCTGGGGGCCTCAAAGCATTTTCTAGATGAAGACCAGTACAACACACTGCTATGTGTTGGTCGCGAACAATACAGCGGAAGAGCAGGGGCATTACCTAGCTGGGATATCGACAGGCGATTCGACGTGTCCGTGCACGAAGAAACCGAGGCTTGGGCCCAGCGTGGTATTCAGCGGCCGGTTCCAACTCAATCTCTTTCACGTCCCAGTGGATCTATTGCTGCCTGTATGGCACACCGTTTTCTAGGCCCAGCATTCTGCATTGCCAACCCGTACAGCCAGGAAACCGAAGATCCAAACAGTCCGACGATTTATTTACTCCGGGGAGAACGGATCCTCATCTCAGAACTCCTTCATGTTTGACCAGGTCTGCCGCAGAGAGGATAAACGGTTATATCTTCGTCTATGGACTGACTGATGACGAAAGCCTCATAAGTCGGAAAATACCTATTATAGCACACATTTTTGCTCGAGATCAACAAATGGGGTGATAGCTCAGTTGGGAGAGCGCTAGACTGAAGTGCACTTTGGTCATCTAATCTAGAGGTCGCCGGTTCAATCCCGGCTCATCCCAGTATTATTTTTTTTTTGCAGTTCCTAGTTAACTGCATTGGAAAATGGCATTCGTTTCCGATATCAGACTCAGGGTGCAGGTTGGGTAGTAATGGCTGCATCCAATGTATACTATGGATGCTCTTGCAAGTACATAGAACTCCAGGTTGGCAAGCAGGCGAGGTGGTGTTATGATATTTCCTATTGGTAGAGTGGGAGCTATCTGCTCCATCATGATATATAAGGTTAGTACTTGACTGCCACATGGCGCGACCTTGGCGCAAAGGCAATCTTGAATTCTACCGAAGGTTCCGCAACTCGTCCAACAAATCCTCTTCTATATCGCGACTGAGTAAGCTTTCCAAAGGTTATCCCGCTCTGAACCCCCCAATATACACACTTAGTAGCTGACACCAAGATTCATAGTACATTTGATCCAACTGCTCTATGAATTGACTTCCATGTGAAGTTGGGTCTTATGGCTGCCTCGGCTGATATTCTCTCTACAACTCTTCCAAGTTCAGTGCCTGTATCGCTCCTTCTAGGTCTTCTGGTTACGATGGGACTTTGCTCCTGGTTTCGTCCTAGCGGGCGGATATCGTTCTTCAGCGCTAAAGACAACAATCTCTTTTTGAAGAGGAAGACGGGCACATCTAACGCCAAGGACCAGACTACATTGGCAGAACTGTGCCGGGCTGCAACACCAGCAAGATGCGATCTCAATCCCTTCCTGTTTAACGGCCACCTTCAGACATGTTGGACTTCAGTGAAGTTCGATAATGTACCTGTCTACTACAAGCGTCGGGTCTTTGAAGCCGACTGTTCCAGGTACAAGGGGCACTTCGCCGTCGACTTTGTCGTGGAGCCGTATGAGGCTCCTGAAAGTCCTGAAGCTAATGACGAAGAGAGGAAGTATACCCTACCGTCAGGACTTCCAGAGCGGACGGCTATGTTTTCCGAGGAGGAATTTGCTGCCTTGCCTTCTGATGACTCCAAACCCATGCTCGTGATTTTACACGGCCTGAGCGGTGGCTCGCATGAGCTTTACCTGCGTCATGTAGTTCACCCCCTCATTGCAGACCGGGGTTGGGAGGCTTGTGTAATCAACTCTCGAGGCTGTGCACAGACAAAGATCTCCACTGGTGTCCTCTACAATGCTCGTGCTACCTGGGACGTTCGCCAGGCTGTGAAGTGGCTGCGAGCAGCCTTCCCCAACCGACCCCTTTTTGGCATTGGCTTCTCTCTCGGTGCTAATATCCTTACCAACGTGCGGCCCCCAAAGTGCGTGACATGATCAACGGGCTAATTGTTCTAGTACCTGGGTGAGGAGGGCGACGCCTGTCAACTGAAAGCAGCAGTCATCGTTGCAAGCCCGTGGAATCTGGAGATCAGCTCGGTAGCTCTCCAAAGCAGCCTCATAGGTCTTGAAGTCTACAGCAAAGTTATGGGCACTAGTATGAAAAAGCTTTTCGAACAGTATGTCCGCAGTTCACCATATCCTCTGGCATTGAACTGACTATTATCCAGACATGCTGAGGAGGTCATCAAGAACCCTAGAGTAAATGCAGAAGCAGTCAGGAGTATTACCTACCTACATGAATTTGACAGGTGGAATATAACTGTCCACTTTCTGTTAAGTGAGTTGGCACTGACAGCTCCACTAGGGCTCTTCAGTGTCCTCTATGGGGCTATCCCACAGAAGGTGCCTATTATCGTGACGCGTCTTCCACCGACCCAATGCTCTCAATACGGATCCCCTTCTTTGTAGTGCAGGCTGAGGATGATCCTGTAAGTCCCCGAGGCCACCTTCCTGTCTCCTAAGCTGATCAGAAAGATTGCACACGTCAAAGCTCTTCCGTTCCAGGAAATCGGCCAAACACCGTACGGTGTCATGATGACCACGTCCTGGGGTGGGCATCTGGGTTGGTTTGAGTTAGGAGGCGAGAGATGGTTTGTGAAGCCGGTGGGTTACTACTTCATTTCTTCGGGCCTACATGTACTAAACGCCTAACAGGTGACGAATTTCCTGAACTTAATGGCCAAGGAGATTGACCTTGAAACACCTCCCATGGTTGAAAAGCCGGAACTGGTGCATGGCCGAACTCCTAGCCCCTCCGAATCTCCGAACGATGCCGGTATAGAGTCAAAGATGCCTGATTTTAGCCCAATGCGTCGTAAGCTCACTCTGCCGATTGTACATTAGTGTATCACTACAAGGCACAGAACTGTACAGACTTGCTAGAAGACGCTTGTTGATGGCGATGTTCATCGCGAGTGTCATTTATGCCATGCTTCAAAAATATATATATATATATATATATATAGCCCCATAAAAACGCCAGTGACTCCTCTAAACACATACTGGTATATGCGATTACACAAGATTACTTTTAGACAGACCCTTCTAAGCAAATGCAACGCTTTTCTTTTTCCCGCTTGACTTTGTCTTAGGGCTATCTGCCGCGGGCTTGCCCGGTGAGCCGTTGGCACTCCCTTTGCCCTTCTTTTTTTGGCGAATCGACTCTTTGGCATTGTCCTAGAATCAACACATGTTAGCAAGGGATCTCCGTCAACGCGAGCGCATTGTCTCATACCAGCTTCGATTTCTTCTCTGATTGCCTGGCCTCCGCTTCTTTCCTCTTCGCCTCACGAATCTCCTCCAATTGCCGGGCCTTCATAATCTTAGATTCAATCTGACCCTCTTTCTCTGCGTTAACCATGGAAAAGATCGTCATCATCGCCTCCTACAAAAGCCGAGGGAGTTAGCATCCGGATTCGCCAATAGACTCTGCCCAGCACTTGCATACCGGATCGTCGACAAATGTCTTTCCCTTCTTCTTTCCCTTGGGATTTACTACGCCAACGGGCGTAATCATGTTCAACTTCGGAAGATCAAGCTCCGCCTCGGTGTACTCTCTCTTCTTTGACTTCTTGAGCTGACTTTTCTCGGTGCGTGCCTTTGACTTGACCTCCTTTGGCGGGGGGCGCTTCACATTCTTCTTATTAACTTTCGCCCCAAGCACTTTGTTGTTCTTCGAGTCGCCTTTGGATGAAGACTTTGATTTCGGTGCGCCTGGCGCCATGTTGCTGCGGCGAAGGATTCACGCGGGCAATCGAGGTCGGTGGGAGTGATAATCGTGGAAGAGGTGAAACACTCAAATAACAAAACAAGTGTTGACCAAGCACAGCACAGTCCCAGAAAATGGCCCCTCTCAGAAAAATGTCTTGATTACCAGTGTAGATAGAAAGAAATCTAGACGTCGCATCCCAGTTAGCAAAAGAAATTTTTCAAAACGGTAGGCGGTGGCGGCAGCCTTGAAGCACCACTCCTCCACATCCATTTTACGCTAATCCCAGCCGGGCCCCGTTAGCAAACCTCGACCTTGACCTACTTCGTACCTACGTTACCTCCCCCTCACAACGAATTGCCCCCCTCCCGCAGGTGCCATCCGTGTACACAGAGAACGCCAACCCGTCAAAATGACTATCAACCCGACTTACCTTGCCCAGCGCACCCGCTCCTGTATGTCCATCTTCCGTCTCGAGAGCTCAATCCCGGAGCAGTCCGACGAGAGCCCTCTTTGAAATCGCCGCGACGTCAATGGCTAGAATCCGAGACTGACCTATTTTGCTCTGTATAGCTGTCAACTGGGCCGATGCGAAGAAGCGTGTGCTTCGGTCCTATAGGGACTGGCTGCGAGCTGTTAGTACCCTGTTATACTATCCTTAATGCTTCGGACCGATTTTGTGGTCCTTGTGCGATATGGTCTGGCACCGATGTTCGAACGGACCAACCCTATTCGCCTGGCCACAACAATGGCTTCGTTGCCCCCCTTCCTTTAGCAAATGACAAGGCTAATGTCATATCGCGTGCCCCAGTCCCCCGAGATCCAGACTATGTACTCACTGAACCTCCCCGTGTCCGCCATCCGTACAAAGATCCGCCAGGAATTCGAGAAGCACCGCTACGTGAACCAACTCAATGTCGTCGATGTGCTGATCTACCAAAGTCACTCCGAATACCAGGTTAGTCAACATACCGTCCTGTTCCCCCACGATTCCCGTCAATTGAGTGAGCAATGGCGCTCTTAATATCCATATCCATACATACGTACATACATTTATATAAATATTTATATATATGCCTCCCTGTTTCATAGCTAACACAATCCGTCCCAGGAAACCCTCAACTACTGGAAGCAGCTCTCCCACGTGATGAAGTACTTCCGGCCAGAGGAAGACCCTGGTGCCCGGCTCCCTCCCAACTTCATCTCGGGTTTCTTGGAGGGCCGCAATTGATTGTTCTGTAGACTTTTGTTTTCCCTTTTACAAATTAGCATTGAGATTCCGATTGGGTTTCCTCGTATCGCCACGCTGATAGAGGTTGTTATGTATATATTAAGGTTATCAGAATAAGCAACGTCTTTCTTACTCCAGCTCTTTGGGTTCACTGGTAATATAGGCAAGGTAGTATCATACTGCACTATGAATCATTCATATTGCAGGCGGATGTAAATCTCGGGAGTATGGCAACACCCTCTATACGCAGTAATTCTGTATAGGTGAAATAGGATTTTATCTCGGAAGTTCTTCTAAACCGCATAGCAGTTTACCATATACTATACAAGAAAGTCTATCCATTCGCCAAAATACGTCAGGCAACGAAACTTTTCTACAGGAACGCCATCCAAGTCCTCAAAAATGCAATAAAGGGCAACGGTAGGAAAGGCAGGGCAGGTAGATATCATGACTCCATTCGGTCAGCCTGCGCAGCATTAAACTCGTCCCGCGAGGTGGTAAACTTGTCCGTTACAACATCGCAAAGATCCATCAGGGTGTCCAGGCCTTTTTCTAACGCTTCAATTGCCGTTGTGGTATCTGCACGGTTCTTGATGTCAGCATATCCACGTCTTTCACGAGGATCAAAGGTTGTCGAAAAAGAAGTGTAACGAGGAGGAGAACGAACCGTATGTCTGAATTCGAATGTTCATCTTCGCCTCTGAAGGATGCGGGATCGTATAT